TAGTGTCTGTACACATGTTATCAGCTAAATGATGCATAAATTAGCATGCTCTTCACATAGAAGTTATCAGGGGTATGGTCTCAACAACCTCCCACTCCTGTCAAAGTTATTATAGTGTTTGTATGCAAGTTATTAGATGTGCTATGTGTAAATTATCATGCTTTATACATATTCACCCTATCGTATTAACATTGTCCGTCGGCACCATCGGGGCGTTTTGCGGCGAGACCATAATAGCCAGGCGAGGTGAATTTTGTTCCACTCTAATAGCACTACATAAATGTGTTTTTCTATAATGGTAATATAAAAACGAAAGGTCAACCATGAAAATACCCTTTCATCTGCACAAGGACTAGACATACAATAGGTGGTTGGTGGGCAAATGTACTAAACCAACGACCAAGGATCAAATCCGTGAATGACCTATATTTTTGACCGCTGCTTTAATAATCCCGTAAAAATGGTGCGGCATGCATGCTAATTAATCCAGCATTAATTATTGCGAGATTTCGGGGTGGGAGCAACAATCGGGCCAGGATCGAAGCAGTACAAATGTGGCAGGTGCAGTTTTAAAGGAAACGTTAATTACTACCGATAGAATAGGAAACTGAAACCAGAAAATAAGGAAAGAGGGAAGACGAAAATCGGGAAAGAGGGAAGACGAGCGTGCGCCCGCATGATTCAGATCGAACGGTGAAGGAGTCGTTCGGATCTATTACTAAAATCCTGCCGACTGGTGGTTAGATTTCTCGAATTTACAAATATTTGATCCGTCCTACACGGCAAGCATAGTAGTACCCTTTTTTTAACAACAAACATTAAAGTTAGTTGAACCCCAAATTAGGAGCAAGAAACCAAATTGCAATCGTCGTTACAATATGTGTGTGGTGGTGATCTACACGAACAACTCCTGCTTACTTATCTCACACCTCATCCATACTCATTCGTTAAATTCATGTACAATGTTTGCATTTCTAATTACACAAATTAGATGTGCTAAAGCATGATAACCGGTCATCTCCTTGTAGCCCTAGGCTTTGTGTCCTTGAACCATCGATGCTTGAGCGCTTGTTCCGCCGTTAGCCTCTTCTCCGGGTTGCATCGTAGAAGCCCGCTCAAGACCTCGAACCCAGCCTCCGACACTGTTGGGGGGCCTTTGATCCTGGCCTTGGTGGGACATGGGAACTTGTTGCGCAGAAAGCTTCCTAGTTGGCCTCCACTTGGTAGCCGCCGCCCATCGTAGCCCGACCACTCCTTAATGTCTGCCGTGCCAAGAAGGTCCAGGATTTCGCTGAGGTGATCCATGTCCGACCTCCCATGGAAAGGGTGCTGGCCGGCGAGGAGCTCGGCCATCATGACGCCGAGAGCCCATGAGTCGACATGCTCGTCATAATCCGTGGACCCGAGGAGGATTTCTGGCGCGCGATATCCCCGTGTCCCAATAGGGTTAGAGTAGGGCGGCCCATCGACCATGCTACATGACAGCCCCAGATCGCAGATCTTGAGGTTCCCGTGGCCGTCAACAAGCACGTTCTCCGGCTTGAGGTCCCGGTGCATGAGGCCGAGACGATTCATCCTCCTCTCGCCGGCGAGAAGCTGTCTCATGAGAAGGCGAACCTCCAGCTCGGTGTGCCTCCTCCCGAAACGGACATGCTTCATGACGTGCCTGAGAGTCGGCCCCACAAACTCCATGGCAAGGAAAGCCCCGCTGTCAAGTTGGCCGGAGGCACGCGGCTGAACGATGGACGGGTGGCCGCTGCACGCCTCGAGAGCACTGACCTCGCTGGCGAAGTCGGAGAGGTAGCGTTCGGCGTCGGCGTGGCCGGCGCCATCGCTCGCACGGAGGCACTTCACCGCCACGATCTCACCCGTGCGGCGGTCCCTCGCCCGGTAGACGACGCCGAATGTTCCTGCGCCGAGCACCTCAAGCCGCTGGAACCGGCCGCTGCTTGCGGGGGAGCTTGAGTCGCCGTTAGTGGCTGCTGTTCTCTGATTCTTGCGCGCCGCCGGTGTGCCCACGACCGCGTCATCTAGGGCAGCCACGCCCACGCGTGGCGGCGTCGAGGTCGACCACCCCATATTTCTCCGAGGAAAACCACAGAGATCGCACCGTGAGGTCACGCCGAGGGTTACACGACGACCCACCGGACAATCAGCAGCGCAAGCTTTGGTGTTGATCGACTGCTCGGCAGCTAAAATAGCTAGACGGCCGGAGAGAGGATTGCTTTTGCTTTATTTCTCACAGCCGTATGGGTATGGCTATGTATGTATATATAGACGGCCAGCACGGCAGCACGCTATGGCTACACGACTCGTGAAGGGACACTAATCAGGTTCGGACACGGACTGCACAGTTTCTACGCGTCATATTGCTCTCATGGTGATGGATAGGAAGCCGTAGGAGGCTACACATACGCGCGTGTGTGCACGTCGTGTGACTTAGTCGATCAGCCTAATTAGGCAATGTCCATGTTCGTCATTGGTGCACCGTTACCACCAGCACGTCAATCATGAGCACTTATATCTATCAATTTCACACGTGAGATATTTAAGCATCGTCTTAGAGAGGCTAAAACCTAAAAGAGCAGGGGATGCTTTAGCTAAACATGGTGAGCGTCATGCGATGGAGTCATGAAGACCCTCTGGCTTTCTTAATTCCTGTAATTGTTATGCCCAGTTAATATATACCTCCATGATGGTATTTCCTAAAAAGGGGGTGAATATCATAAAACCATCACATCTACGTCTAGGGTTTTAAACCGCAACCACTTTACTTAACCGCTACAAAAATGTATCTATTTAAGTTGGGTGTGGGGCCACCTGTCAACGTTAACACTACTCTCTCTCACACATGCCTATTCCCATTTGATCGAACGACTTTGTGTGCGACTGCGGCGTCGACCCTTGTCTTCTGCGGGCGACCTCCTGGATGCCTTCTCGTCACTAGATGATGTCCATGAGCTACCTAAGATCTAGGATAGATGATCCACAAAAGCAATTTGATAGTTCCTCACCCTGCGCAATGTACGCATGTGACGAAGGAGTGGATGTAGGCAAAATTTGTCCTCCATGGGCCACGGTTTTGGGCACTTCTTTGTCTAAATGGTTCCTCTCATTTTTCTTCTCCTAGTGGCACGATAACGTGGTTCGGAACGCAACGATTCATTGGAGTCGGCGATGGTGGATGGCGACCATGTTTCTCTTTGTCGGTTTCTCCTTTACGTGAACCTTTTGCCCTATAAGTGCTCCTCTGCGTGCGGTTGTGCTTTGGTCGTGGACGAGGACGAGGAGGAGGGTTGGGCCACCGTCGCCGGAGATGACAGGGAAGACGGAAAAATGAAGAAAAAAATTCATCAGAATCTTGCCGAAGTGGGGGAGGGGGCGTCATGGGGCGGAGTGGGACTGGGCTTGTAGGCGGCATGGTGCACGGCTGCTCGAGTGGCCATGGGAGCTAAGAACTAAATGAAACCAGAAATGGGCTAGTTAGGCGATAATTCCCCATCAAAAGGTTTTCCCTCATATTAAAAACACTAAGAGTCGAAAGCGGGGTTTTGGCTCCCATGCTTAGATGAGCCTATGCATTACAGTAAAATCATTAAAAAATATTAAAAATTAAAATAAAAAAATTGAATTTTTTGTGGTGAAAGATGCTTGAGTGCGTGATGTTCGTGCCAAATTCCGTCGTGTTTGGACATCTAAGTAGCTAATAGAGGGAAAGCAAGAAGCAAAATTGAGGTCTGTGAGAAAGTTCATTGTTCAGACCAATTATATTTTTTTTTGCCACGAGCTCCTTAGATGTCCAGACACGATAAAATTTGGTACGGACATCGCACACTCCAATATCTTTCATGTAAAAATATTTCAGAATTTTTAAATCTTTTTAGTTTTTTTTAATTTACTGTTCACCAGGAGGAGCCGAGCCCGGGAAATGAATATTCGCTCAGAGTGATAGTATTTTGTTAAGCGTAGGTTAAGAGGAACATTTTTGTCAGTACATGGTGCGCGTACCCTCCTACATGCTGGATCTGTCTCGTGCCAGTTTTTGGCGAGAGCGGGTTATGGGGCGCCTTCGGTGTCCACGTCGACGTGAGCCCACCGCCTCCCTCCCTCCACGTACAGCTCTATCTCGTCGTTCACGTGGCCACGGCCGCGTCCACCGGCAACCTCCTCACGGCCGCTATAAAATGCGCGCCTGCTCGTTCACAATAGGCACAGCAACGCAACATCAGCCAAGTGTCATCACCATCGTTCTAAACTAGCGAGCAGCACCTTCTCTAGTTCTCTTCCTGCGCTAGCTTTTCTCTGCCTCGAGTAATGGCGACCATGGTGACTTTGAGCTCCTTCGCCGTCGTCGGCCGGTCCGCCGCCCGTTCTCCGGTGGTGGCCCCGCGCCGGCGCGCCCTCGTCGTCAGGGCCCAGGCCGAGGTGAGCTTTCACGTCACGCACTCAACTGTTTCGGATGCTGGCTGGCTAGTGTTACTTCAAGACTCGATCTCAATGTAAAATTGTTTGTGTATGCGCAGCCTGACATGGACTCAACCAAGGAGACGACGAGCGCGTCGACCTCCTCATCCCCACGCACGAGCCCTGCCCCGACCCCGATCCCGGCAGCACCCAAGCCCATGACCAAGAAGGCCAACCCCTCGGTCTGGGACGCGCTGGCCTTCAGCGGCCCGGCGCCGGAGCGCACCAACGGCCGGCTGGCCATGGTGGGATTCGTGGCGGCGCTGTCCGTTGAGGCGGCGCGCGGCGGTGGGCTCCTCGACCAGGCCGGCAGCGGCGCTGGGCTTGGCTGGTTCCTGGTGACCGCGGGGGTGTTCTCCGTGGCGTCGCTGGTGCCGCTGCTGCAGGGCCAGAGCGTGGAGAGCAAGTCGAGCGGCGTCTGGAGCGCCGACGCCGAGCTCTGGAACGGCCGCTTCGCCATGCTCGGCCTCGTCGCGCTCGCCGCCACCGAGTTCATTACCGGCGCGCCCTTCGTCAACATCTAAGACGACGTAATGTAGCGCTGTGGATTCTTTTCTGCTGACAGATCGTAATAGTACTAACTGTTGTAGCCACGTTGCAATTTTGTATTACTATTGATGATTGAACTCTGTACATCTCATATTAAGGTTGTTTTCATGGCTTCTTATCCTTTTTAGTACGAGTCCACGAGTGTGGCGTCATCGCAACATCTTTTTTTTTCTTGAAAATTTTCACCACCGTCCTCTTGAGGTTAACTGTATATTTGATGACGATGTTTTTTAACGCAGTACAGACGCAAGCGCTTATACATACGCATATACACCCACTTCTATATAAATGCACACACGCGCCCTGTCTCCACTTTCGAGGGACTGAGTTACCACATCATCATGCGATCGAGGAAGCTATCATAGAACGCCTTTGTAGTCGACGAGAGCATCTTCTCCCACTGAACGCACATTACCGAAAGGCCTAAAATAAATCCTGAAAAATGCGAGCACCCTCGACTCTCTGGCTAGTATGTGCTTCATGTTTATCCGCTAATCCATTACATACTCATATGTCTACTTTGACTATGCTACTTAATTAAAAACTTATTCACTTTAGTTATACTTAAGTCACCTGAAAATTAAATTTGGGTTAGTCGATTTTTAGACCGTTCATTTCTGTTTTAAGATTTGTGTACTTTTTTCGGACTAGTCTGTGGGTTGTCTTGGGCTTTTTTTACTGAACCATATTTGGGCCAGTCAATTCTTAACGGGCCGAAGCCCATTCCAATGCGACAAAGCCTTCTTATTTCTCCTTTGAGTTTTCTGTTTTTTGTTTCTATGCGTTTTTGTTTTTCCTTTCCATTATTAGTTCCTTTTTGTTTTTATTTTGTGGGTATTTTTGGGATGTTGGATCAGTGTAGTTCTATACATACAAATACTATATAATTTGCGCCAAAATTTCATGATTATGTGATTAACTATTGCATATTACAAAAAATGCAATTTTGGTGCAAAGTTGTGTGCAAGTTTTTAAATTTTCTTTCATCTTAAAGAAATTACCAATGCACTAATCACTCTTTTTTATAGACAAAATCATTATTTTGATATTATTTTAGTCTCTATTTCATTTTCATTCTACTTTAAGGGTAATACGAATGCCACTAATTGATTCATTATTAGATTATTTTTCTGCGAAAATTTCACTTTTATATACTTATTCTTGCATATTTTTAGAATGTGCATTTTTGTGCAAATTTTCTCCCTGATGGTTTTAGATTATTTTCCCCCTTTTATTTCTTCTTAAGTGGTAAAGCAATGCCATTAATTTGCTCTTCCTCAGGAAATTTAATTATTTTGAGTTTTTTCTATTTTATTTTTATTTTCTTTCTTCTTAAAGGGTCATACTAATGTTAGTATGTTGCTAAATTCATTAGTTCTCAATAAACATATTTTTGCAAAAACAATTAATATTATATTTTTTCAGAATAACAATTAATATTATATGATTATTCTTGCATATTATTAAAAAACTCGATTTTTGTGTAAATTGCGTGCAAATTTTATCATTATTTAATTTTGTTGTTTTCTCTTTCTTTCTTATTTAAGACTAATACAAATGCCACTAATTCATTCCTTCTTAGAGAATATTTTTCTTTTCTTTTTGTGTGTGTAAGTATAAATTTAGTTACTAAATAATGTGTGTAAGTTCTAGTTGAATGCAAAAATCACACTATTATATGCTTATTCTTTGCATATTTTAAAAAGTGCAATTTCAGTGCAAAGTTGTGTGCATGTTTTTATAGGTTTTTCTTTTTCATTTTCTTTCTTCTTAAGATGTGTGTGTGTATTGCATAGTCACTAACCGTCGCATGCAAATA